AAAAAAAAAAAAAAAAAAAAAAGCAAATGTTAGTATGTTACAACTTACAAGGCCATATTTCCCACACAATTAAAAAAACAAAAGATTCAGAACTTCGTGCTAGCGCCTTCTCTTCTATCCTTTGATAGGGTCAATAAAACTATGAATATAAAATTATAAATATATTTATAAAACATAAAATTTATGAAACTTACGCATGTTAAAAGAAAAGAAAAGAAAAGGAAAAGAATTGCGTCAACATGAAGGCAAACTTTCATGATAGGTTGGCTAAGTGTTCCCCAAGATGACGAGTGACGACCAGGCATGAGGGTATCGGTCAGGCCCACTACTGGCGATATGTCCATGCTAAATACTTTGCATGAATCTGACTACAAAACTGGCCAGATTCATGACAACTTGGCAGAAAGATCGTACCAGTGGCGCCCACCCCTACATCAGACCAGTATGGCTTCACTCTAACACAGCACCAGTGTGGCTTGGACCTACACCGTGTCAGTGGGGCTTAGCCCTACATAGGACCAGTGTGGGGCTTGGCCCTACATAGTACCAGTGGGGCTTGGCCCTACAAACTCCCAATGGGGCTTGGCCCAAAGTCTCGTATGCAGGCGAGTATGAAGCTAAGAGTAAGGCCCCACTGTTCAAATGTCCATGCTAATTGCTTAGCACACGTCCAGTTATTTAAAACTGGCTCACTTCATGATAACTTAGAACAAATAGAGCACCAATGGGACCTGGGCCACTTGGCCCTACGCAGGGCAAAGTATCAGGCTTAAATACAAGTAGTACTATCACCTGGCACAAGAAATCACTTAAGTTATATGACATTAAATGAACAGATTCTGAGTGCCAGTCCAGCCCCGTGGACCATAGACGAACCCGCAGGCCTGGAAGCTGGAAGGCCGATTCAGGTCCCGCAGGTCATTAAGAGTCCAAAGGCGGTAAGAGTCTGGAAGGTTTGCAGGAACAGGTACCCAACAGAAAAAGTCCAGTCCCAGTCCCAGTCCAAATGTAGTAGCAGCATCCGTTGAAGGTCCAGGACCTTCCATAACCAACAACACTTTGTGGCCGACAAGCCCTGGAGGACCGGTACTGGTCGAGAGCGGACAATGATCACAGATACGACAAAAGCTGCCACAGTACATGGGGGAGCTTCACTTGTTCATTCCAATGTTGCCAAAGCGCTTCTGTATGCTTCTGCGACGCTTCAAGTGAGACTGGTCTGGCAAACTGGAATCACCTGGGGCCATGCACCCTCGCTAGGGTCAAGTGTTGAAGGAGAGGACGTAGTGGCAGGGAGAGAGAGTATTCAGAGAGGGTTCAATCGGGGGAGCAAGAAAAGAGAGAGAGAGAGAGAGAGAGAGAGAGAGAGAGAGAGAGAGAGAGAGAGAGAGAGAGAGAGAGAGAGAGAGAGAGAG